AAAACCGTCCCCCTTGGCATGAATTTCAATTGATTCATTTTGCAATACCTTCCCTGAACCTCACTCCTTTTGCCAAGAGATAGTTGAGTTGGGGTCCAATATTGCCTGCCACAATTTATCAAAAATAATTAGCTGCAGGTCCCTGAAGACCTCCAATGCACAACAAAGAGACAAGATTCTCCTTTGAATACAGTAGGGAAGTTAAAAGTTGTAATTCAACACCCTTCATTCTCCTCCCTGTTTGAACTGAAGTGGTTGCTCAGAATGAGTTCAGGAGGAAGTGCTGAGAAGACATTTAGAATCAGGTCACGAGCACTCCTGCTCCATCAGCTGATCAACCAGCATTTTATTATCAAGAACAGGGTTAAAACCCACCATACCTCAACCTTCAAAGCTTATCCTCACAGGGTCTGACCAACACGGGAGCATCCTGAAAAACAATGACATCTGGAATGCCCGGATTTTAATTTAACAGCCTGCTTTTAAAGAGTAGTTAATTAGATAATTTTAAAAATAGCTATTAAACTGGGATAGTAGAGAGGTGAGACCTGCCTGACTTTCCTTGTTAAAACAAGAAACAAACTGAAAGAAATCAGGAACCCCTGCAAGATCTAGATTTTCCCAGAATAGCACATTGTAGTCACCCAGCCACACCACAGGCTTTGTTTCTTCAGTTGTCCCGTAGTTGAAGCACAGTCCTGTCTCAGATTAACATAACACGTACCCCACAAGTGCCAAATATTTGTGCAACTGAGAAATAATGCTTTAAAGAGGTGGATTTGCAAGAAATCAGTAGTGAGAGGGGCCTATACAGCAAGAACAACGTGTCCTTATGGTGGTTTCAGTGACTTTATGGCTGGAAGGCATAATTGTCAATAAACCCTCAATCTTCTGTGACACTGAACTCCAGGCTCACCACAGTATTCCCTGACACAAATACTCTCTTCTCAAAGAAATTTGATTCTTTGTATCAAATTACATGGCAACTCTGTCACAAACTATGTGAGGCAAATGAAAGATCTGTTCCTTCAGCCAGCCTTCCCCTACTTTTCAGTTTAACTGCATATCCTCCATTTCCTATGCAGCAGAAGAGGAAAAATTGAATCATTTTGTGCCTTGCCTCCCCTCTCCTCCTCATTATTTCTCATATGAAGCCCTTTCTCCATGTTCCTAACAATTCTTCATTTTAACAATGCAGCTAACATTGTGTGCCCTTACCTATTTTGAACAATCAAGTCACAAAGAGACATTTTTTTCTACATGTGGTTCTTAGGCTTCCCGAGATACTTTACTTTCTGGGGGGGAAAAAAACACAACCCAGCATGCAGGGCATAAGTTTTCATGTAAAAGTCTGCATTAGATGTCCAGGTCTGTGTGTGTGTGTCTGTGTGTGTGTGTGTATCCCCTGATATATACAATAAGCCATCTCTACTTGCTGAAATGTTCCTTAGACCACATGCAGCTGCCTTCCCTCTCACTGCATTAGAAAGAAATCTTAATGGGAGGTGGGGGACACCCATCACACTTGCATGGAACACACCCCTCTAGACATTCCAGCACAGAGCAGGGCACAACTGGTGCAGCCTCTGACCACACACGTTTACAGCAAACCATTTAGAACTCTTGGTATTTGTATCACAAAAGTGCCATCCTTCTCCAGCTGACAGCAACACAACCTGTTGCTACCATGCAGTAACAGGAAAGCTATTTCCTCAAGCCCTCTAACCAGAAATTATTTTTATACCAGAAAAATCTATTTACAATAAGCCGACAAGACTTTCGCACTGTCTTGCCCGTTAACGCGTTTCCACAACTAAAAAATCTCCTCAGAAATCAGCTGGTCCTTGGAAATCCAACACCAGTTCAACTGTTACTGTGAACCAAGAAAATGAAACTCATACAAACGATAACCATCGAGAGGCTTCTTGAGAAAAACAAGTGGTCACAGTCAGTGATGGGAACTGCACCTAATTCAGTGTTCACCGTGGAATCTCTGCTGAAAGGAAAGTAACACAACGTAAGTAAACATCTGTGGTTTTCCTTCTCAGTTATCACAGTCCCTCGACTTCAGGCTGTGTTACTGTAACAGAGCCTACATGGAATCTTGAAGGTCACGCTGAAATTTCAGCTGGTGCAGCATGTTTATACAACGATCTTTCACAACAGGGCCATATTATATCTTTATTTCTGTGTGAGAATGGTTTCACAGTTGTTACCAAGCGCAGTTCAGGGCATTAACTTCAAAATACAAATTCCCCTGTGGCTTATCTCTCATGTGCTTTGAGACACATTGGTTTTCCTGGCCTAACAGCCAGTAATACTTGGGATGCTCCAGCACACAACCACCTGATTTACTGGGTGTGGGAAGAACCACCAAAAAACCACACAGATCTTCATCTGCAAAATGATTCAGTGGGGAAGAGAATTTTAAACAATAAGCAGGCTCTGCAAAAAATTAAAAAGTTTTATAAAGGTCACCTACTTAAAAGATGCCTCATGGTGGCTGCTGCATCACTATTTTGAGATGCTTGGGAAGTTTGGGAGAATAAATGCAGGTGAGTTCTTTCCTTCTAGTCCAGCTTCACACTTTATATTGTTTGAAAGCTACGATTACACAAGTTCTTTCAAATGGATGAAACATTTTTTTCCCAGGTATCCAGCATATAAACTATAATTCTTGGTGATGAAATAAAAAAAACCACATTAATTTTCATTCCTATCATTACATATTCCAGACTGGGAAAGGTCAATTCCCTCAGCACCATCAAATACCCTTTTACAGTACTGGTTAGTTATGAGATATAGACTCTAATTAAATGGGATGTTAGTCTTTGCCATCATTATCACAAGTAACCACCATCAGCATCACCCACAACCTACAAACCAGCATTTTTGTAAGTTTGTACAAAATGCTGTTTTTTACATAAAAAATTAAGTCACTATTTTAACACACTCCCATTGAATCTCAGCTTCTGTGATGCTTAATTCAACAAGATTGATAATGGCTTCCACCCAGATTGCTGGTGAATCACTGGTATCACAGCAGAAGTTTCCAAGAGCAATCCTGTTCTGTTCATCTGCTTTAGCAGGAACACTTTTATATAATAATACACAAGTCTCAAGATGCCCCTAAATTAAACTCTGCCTTATTAATGTCTGCAATTTCTGGATTCATACGTTCATCTGTTCACTGGAACACCAGTTTTTTAAATTATCAGCGTACAACCATCTGATCGTAAATTTATAAAATATTTTGCTTTGAACTAAGCTAGTCTGGATACAGAGCTGATAAAAAACCCACAAAAACAAACAAACCACCAGAAACCACACAAGTAACTTCCCACTCATCTCCATCAAGGCTCCTGCTGCTCACAAGTGATTGACAAGCTCACCACTCAAGTCTCTGGTTGTCAAAACAGACTGTACTGATGGTAACTGCGTTTCTAAATTTCCCTCCAAGCAGCCTGTCAAGCTGTCTGCTTTGACAGACCCTTTTCTGGGACAGGAAGGCAAAGCCATAAGCTATAGCTGGGAAAAGAAAAGGTGCCTGATAACGTCTGCTTCTATTTATGTTAGTGGAAACCATAATTTCATATCAGCACTGAGGGTTAATGCACTGAAGAAAGCCACGGTGCTCCTGGTAAAGCTTAGAAACTGTCAATAAGGTACACACTGCTCCTGGAATGGGGGTTATTTATACAGCTATGAAGTCTCTTATTAGCTCCACTGACTTCAAACGCAGCAATACAGACATCTATAGCTGATAAAATTAATGCCTTCCATGTCCCTATAAGGCTGAAAGGGGTAAAAAAAGGTACATTTAGGATCCCATTAATTTCTGCTTCATAGTACTGCTGTGTTATCTAACACCTCTGTGGCTATATGATGTGAATAAAATATAAATGGTGAAGTTAACAATTGCATTTCTCTCCCAGCAGAGTCATTAGACAACAGCATTGCTAAACCAGTTACAATGATTAAAGCAGCTCAGCCACAGCCCAGGTTACTTTGAACTTTTTAATAATTTCTGTAAATTTTTCAGGTTTTTTGACCCACTTCAGCCATTTTTCAATATGGCAAAAACATCCAGAAAACAGCAGCTACCAGCAGAGGGACGGGCGATTTGTCATTCACACTTGACTGAAATTAATAAAATAAGGGAGTTACTCTGAGGAAAAAGGCATGTGGAGGAAAATTCAACATTCCCAGTTCCTAGGAGGAAAAAACCCCTGCAGCAGTTCCCTGTTCTAAAACAGCACAGGCCTCAAAATGGCTTTTGAGGACAAAACCTGACACCAGGACATTCCCAGCCACTAAAGCACATTAAAATGCAGCTACACCACCACCACGCTCCCGGCATGAAACCTTACCCACCCTCGCCCCGGAATCCAATGGCCAAAACAACGCCAGGGTGGAAAAATTAGTGAAAGTCAGGGGAGTTCCTGTGCGGTTTCACCACGGTTTGTCCCCACGCAGAGGGAGCCGAGGCCACCTCGCTCTTCCCTCAGGCGCCACAGACAAAAGAGCCACGACCAGGGGAGGGGGGGTGTCCCGGGAACGGGGGGTATTAATTCCCGCATCGCTGTGGTTCAACACGACACGGGGATGAGTTTTCTTATCTTTCTAGGCACGCAGAGCCCCTGGAAAAACAACAGCAGTCGCAGGGCACACACAAAAGCCGCCTGTCCCTCGGCCGCCGCAGCCTGAGGCGATGCCGCCTCTCCCCACCCCCAGCCCGGACCCAGTCGCCCTCCGCCTTCCCTGCGCCGGGCACAGAGACCTGCGGTCCCTCCCCGCCTGCCCGGGGCGCTCGGAAATCGAGCCCGGAAGGAGCCTAAGGCCCGGCGAGGCAGAGAACCACGGAACTGTCAGCGTTGTGAGGCACCTCTGGAGATCAGCTCGTCCGAGCGCCCGCCCCTCCGCCTCCTTCCCCGGCAAGGCGGGCAGAGCCCTCCCGCCCCATTGTTCCCTGCACCCCGCGGCGGAGCCGGCGCACTCACCACACGGGCCGGGCTCCCCGTAGCGCCCACCGACCCCCTCAGCTCCGGCACACGGGGGCTGAAGCAGCGCCCTGCTGCTCCTCCGGCAGTACCCGCGGGCCCCGGGGCAGCGCCGCCATCGCCCGCCGCCGCCCCGCCGCCGCCGCTCCAGCAGCGGCCATCTTGTGCGTCGGCTGCTCCCCTCACCGCCTCCCTCCTTCCCTCCCTCCCCGCATCGCCCTCCCCTTCCTGCGCCCGCCTCCCCCGAGCAGCCGGGGCGGGGCAGGGAGAAACAGCCGAGTCACGGGCTGGAGCGCCGTGAGGGCTGGGTTGGGCTGGGCAGGGCTGGGCTGCGCTGGGCAGGGCTGGGCTGCGCTGGGCAGGGCAGGGCTGGGCTGGGCAGAACTGGGCGGGGGAACTGTCACCCATGGCGGAGAGGGCGTCCCGCGGTCTGTGAGGGCCGGTATACCTCCCCGTTGCCCTCTCTCGCCATTTTGGGGTGTTTTTCGCTCTGTCACCTCATCTTCTCTTCGTTAGCGGGCTCAGACAGGCATCGAGGTGGAGGTCGCGGCTCTTCACACGCCGAGTACCGCCTGAGGAGTGCTCTGTGTGTTGGGAGCCTCCCGAGGGCCCCCGCCCGCCATTTTCTCTCCCTCAGGATGCTCCTGTGTTGGCGAGCGCTGCAGTTCCCCTCATCTTCCCCGCTGCGGCTGCCTCACGCCAACACACCTAAGAGCTTGGGGCTGGGTAATTTTCTAACGTAAAGGGAAAATAACACAAATTAGCTGTTCCCGCTTAGGTGGCCGTTCAGGGCAAAGCCCTCGCTGCTCTGCCCACCAGCCCCAGGGGAAGGAGCAGAGCTGAACTCGCTGCTGGAGAAGGTCCTCCGTAGCTTTATTTGCTGCAGGACCCACTGAAATCATCCTCAGCTTTAACAACACCACAGGTAAGATGTTTGGGCACCCACCAAGCCTTGCTGTATGGCAGTATCAGAAATAGTTGAAATACTGAAGAATTTTTAAAACCTTATAAAATGCCTTACAGGTATTCACAATGACTCGTAGCATTTACTTAGCACGTACCGACTGATAGTTTTAAAATGTTACGAGAGCTAATTATTTGCCATCAGGTTATTTGAAGGTAGCATCGACTTGATGCCCATTTACAAGAATGTGATTATGGTGTAAAATATTAAGGAATTTATCCACATGTGTTTTCAAATTAAAGACCAAAAATAGTGTTCAGTGTCCCTGTCTTACTGCCCAGGTGTTTTGTCATGTCTACGCCCAGATCTGTGGGATCAATCCTGGTGTGAGGCCACTGTGTGGGATGCTGGGTATGGAATCACTGCATTTCTATTTTCAGTTTGTAACACCGTGAGGAGCACACAGTGTATTATCAGTTCAATATCCGAACTGCAGCGTCGCATGAGCTCAAAATACAATTTAAACAGAGCAACGTCAGGTCAGAAGTACCCAGGCCCAGAGCCAGAGAGCCAAGACAGCAACGTGCAAAAGGAAGCTGGGTCATGACATCCAGATAGAACAGAGAAATAAATCACAGAGCTAAACTCCTACACACAAGGGGGAGATTACTCTTCAGCTCCTACTTCTGACTCTTGCACTGACCACAGACAGATTTTCATGTTAATTTTACAAGAAATGTGATGGTAGTAACTATCCATTTTACTGTAGAAATCATCTCTATTATTTAGGTTTGTCCACCAAAACAAGCCTAGTGCTTATCAAGCTTAAATAACATTATTAAGAACAGCTATTAATTTCTGAAAGCTGGCTTTTCTTACCGTATTTTCTTACCACCAGAAGGCAACATATTTACAAATACCACCTTTAACTTAGCAAGAGCCTTAGTGTGAGTTACAAAAGAAGTGTAAATTGGAAGTGTCCAAGGCCAGGTTGGATGGGACATAGAGCAACCTGATCTAGTGGAAGGTGTCCATGCCCATGGCAGGTGGTTTGAAGCCAGAGGAGCTTTAAGGTGCCTTCCAGCCCAAACCATTGTATGATTCTATGATAAATTGGGAAGTTTAACATGGAAATGTCAGTCTTAAGCATTATGACCATTTTGTTGTTGCTTCAAAAAGATTAACAGGAAAAATTTAAAAATCCACCAAGAGAAATCTAAAACAAGCAATGTAAACATCAGAATCCTTAGCACCATTGTCACAAAATTAAGTAGCTGAATGAACAGTTTAATCAAGAATATTATACTTAGCCAGATTTGTAAGTTGGAGATGATCACACATTAGTACATTATTATAATTTTATCATTATATTGGCATTGTAATACTTTCTACAGTGCCTCAATGAAACCTTCATACTACTTGTTCTTAATGGCTGTATAAATAATGTAAGAGTCTTTGTCCTGAAGCACCATCTTTCATATAACCAATTGGCAAACTGCAGTGTAATTTTTAAAAATTTAAAAAATAAAATTCAAATCTGAATCATTATATGCTTATCTAATCAGTCGTCTCTCTTGGAAATGAACTATTAAACAGTATCTTTGCACATTATTCTAGATTAATTTAAGTACTCTCTTCACCCTATTACTCTAATTTAAAACTCTACATACCTGCCAGAGGGCAGGGTTAGATGGGATATTAGGAAGAAATTCCTCCCTGTGAGGGTGGGGAGGCCCTGGCACAGGTTGCCCAGAGAAGCTGTGGCTGCCCCTGGATCCCTGGAAGTGTCCAAGGCCAGGTTGGACGGGGCTTGGATCAACCTGGGCTAGTGGCAGGTGTCCCTGCCCATGGCAGGGGGTGGGATGAGATGAGCTTTAAGGCCCCTTCCAACCCAAACCAGTCTGAGATTCTATACCACAGAAAATTTCCAACCAGCAATTGCCATCCTTTGCAGACTCCTCTCCCAAATGTTACACAGAACTGTGACCCTTGCTGCAGTTATCAGTGTTGTGAGCAGGAGCAGAAGATGGCAGTAGGAGCTAAAAGGGCCGGTGTTCTTTAAACCTTGGTTTAAAGTCACAGAAACTGGAAATGGTCAAGGCCTGAGGACATCCTGATACCTCCTAGTTTCTAGCAGGTAGTGTTCTGGTGTTCTGTTCAGTCTGGGTTTTAATAATCCAGTCTGGAGACTTCTACCACTTTCTATACTTGGTTCCTGTGTATTGTTCCTGTATTGTGGAAAGCTTTTAGTTTTCAGGTAGTTTATGTTTTCCCTCAGCATTTAATTCCATCACCAGTATTAACATGCTGACAATAATTTGCAGTATTACAACACAGGCTACCACAGCTGTTGAAATTTAAAGAAGTGGGATCTGAAATGGCCTGTGGTTCTTATTATGTAACACTGCAACTTTAATTCTCAAACCCCATTTTACACCTCCATCAGAGTCATACTTTTCTAATGCTTATTCTTTATTCTGTTTTCTAAAAGTTCAGAAATTTGTAGGTGAGCTTGTTCTCTCCTCGGGAGCTGCTCCCATGAGGTATCTAGATTATTTTTAATGTCTGCTTTGCCCAGTTACACAGCATTTCTTCCTGCATGACACGCTTAAAAACCCACAGGAGTTAGTTTGATTCTACCACATATAGCCTAAATTTTCAATTCCTTTTTTTCTTTTGTTTTTCCATCCAAGAGGGGATAATGTGGCATGGTTCTAGGATTTGACATTTGTGGCCACTCTAGTAATGTTCTTCAGATTATGCCTTAAAAATGACTCCTCATTTTAGCCTGTATGACCGAGAGAAATAGGTAAAATACCAGTGTAACTGTCGAATGGTGTCATCTCACCATTCAATTTTTATACTGCTCTTTCATATAAAACTGATATAGAACTGTGCTACCAGAATAGCTGTCTTTTTAAAAAAAAATTCATATTTTTAAAATGTGTTGGCAGTGTTTCACTTTGCTGTTTTAGTTACCAACGTGAGCAGTAACGCTGATAATAATGGAAAAATTCTCATTTTGAAACCTGTGATATCAGAATGAAAGACAAGAATGACGTATTTTTCCAGGTGGCTGCAAGTATGTAAAAAATGTCCTTGTTAATTCACACAGCCAAGATGTGTGAATGTAAACTACCAAGCATGTAAACCACAGATAACAAAAAAGAAAATCTTTAGCACTTGTATGTGCTTGACCATCTCGTTAACAAAACCTAAATTCCTGCACTTTTATAAGATTCCACTGACGAAAGCAGAAGACCATATCTGTGCAATGTAATCACTTCAAAAATTTCCAATATTTATTAAAGAGTGTGCTGAATATCATCCAAGCCCGTGGGATGCAGATGCAACTATTAGAGGTTGTTATATGTGCTTATTTGAAAACAAGAGGATGGTAGCAAAGTAGAGCCTTCCTCTGTGAAAGGACACGCTCAGTGTCTCCACCATAAGAGGCAAGATTTAGATTTCCTTTGTGCAGGAGAATCCTGAAGGATCTACAGGAATGTAAAGTGCATATGTGTAAAATCAGAGTTCCTCCATGACTGCTTCTCTCCCAAACACTCAATTTGCAAACCTGCCAAACATCTCATTGAAAACTTTTTACAGTTCTTTGATGCTGTACATAATAAATTTGCAAACTCTCAGTGCAGTTATTAATGTTTGTATTTTCAGGCTACTTGGAATGCAAAAGATCTATGTAAATATACCCTCTGGTTGCAGCTGCTGTGAAAAAAGAAGAAATTATAAGGGAGGTAATAAGAAACCTCAGTGATTTCTCATTAGAAGTTTCACTTACTTAAGTATCCCATCTCCTCCTCCTCCTTGTCCCGCTGGTGTTTAGGGATGCAGAATGCTGGCTCAGGGGTATGTGCCCCAGATTCTCATTCTGCTACTTACTGCCATTTGCTTACATGTAATTCCTGCTCAGCTTCAATCCCAGAGCTTCCACTGGCATTTAGTACATCTCTCTCTGTGTGACAAAAATTTGGAAGCAATATAAAGTACAAGAATTTGCAGCATAGCAGGTGTGTGGACCCACCAGGCAGAGCAAGGCACAGGCAGTACCACAGCACATCCCTGTTGTTCTGGTGCCCTCTGCTGAAATCACCATCTGCTTGGCTTCTGAATCACCCCATATGCTGCCACCTCTTTATCTTGCACTTCCTTGATTTATTTCCTTTTCTATTTATTCTGTCTTAACAGAAAAGCACAACTACAACCCTTTATTTCCTTTCCTTCTTCCAGTGGTACTTTGATTGAAACTAGTTCTTTTCCTTCATAACACTGCTGCATCACATTTTACAACAGCCTTTCATTGAGCTTAGGAAGGTAATAGATGAGTTGAGCTGCTAAACTATTCAGACAATCATGTTTTATAAGAATTCCAGGGTGTGTGTATGTGCATAAAACCTCAAACCACCTAAATTAGCAATGTAATTTTTGTTCCTTGCTGGCAGATTTCCTTGTGTACAGTAAAACTGGGGGAAATAAGAGACAGAGAGGGCGATACAGCCAGCACATTTTCTCTCCAGCAATACCTTTGTTTAGCTGCATGCAAAACCACAGCCTTACTCTCACTTTGCAGGGGAAGCTGAATTGTAAAGGTTAAGAAACTTCTCAGGTTCACAAAGCAAGCAGTGGCAAGATGAGGAATAAACCCGCAGTCTGGTCTCCTGTTCCAGCCACTAGACCTTGTGTTCCTCCACACTCGTGCAAGTTACAGTAAATGCATTATGACTAAACTGCTGGGGGAGTAATTTTTCCAATTGAATTTCCCAGGGAAAGCACTCTTACTGCAAGTAAAAAGTAGGACTGTCTTACATCTCTGTAGTCACATCCCATTTCTGCAGTAAAGGAAAACATGCTGATGATTTCCTGGAGTTATCCTTGCTTAGTATCCCCCATAAAGACTCCAAGTTTTGCACTGGCTTGGTTTGAGAATGCCTGATACAAGACTTCCCTAGTGCATCTTCCAGCAAATGGGACTGTCAGTTCCACAGGAAAATCAAGGACCAACCTTAGCTACTCCTGATGTTATGAATATCTGCATAAAGCAAGTTGAGGTGGTTTTATGTTAGTGTGGATCTCAAGTAGCTGCTTATTCAGATCCCAGTTCTAGCAGTTTTTAAACTGTATGTTGTTCACGTTATTGCAGAGAGACATGTTTGATACTTCATCTCTTAGTGGGATTTCAGAAGAGACTTGTAAAAAAAAATCTAATTTATAATATATATTTATATAATATATATGTATTATATATTATATATCTATATTATATATCTAATATGTAACATGTATAATGTATTCTATATTCTCTATATATGTAGTTCCAGTATATGCTTGAGAAACAGTTCACAAAAAGATTCTTTTCACTGAGAACATGTCAAATTTGTTTAGATGGGCTGAGGTTATTTTTTGGAGATCATTCTGTATGGTAATTTTTTTTATTCTTTTACCAGGTTTTACATATCATGTCTTCTCTGACAGGCCCATTCTCACACACACAAACCCCTACCTTTTGGATAAGAATTTCCTCCTCCACTTTTGAATTTCTTCTCAGCACAGTATTCTCAGTTTGCTCTCTCTCGTTACTCTGCTGGTAAAAAGCTGTTACACACCATTCCAGCAGTTCAATTTGAGCAGGAACCACTGAAATTTCTGAATTGTAAATGTACACTACAAATGGTTCTTGTTGCGTATGTTCTGATTTTGGTAAATTGTCACCAAGAATTACATCATTAATCCTAACCTTTAAGGGTTTTTTTTTTGAATTTGACATTTCACCTATTGATTTGATTTTTTAACTTGCTTAAAAAGAGCACGGGTTTTGTGAAAAGAAGTTGATATCTTTCATTGTTAATAAAAGATTCTTTCAAGATTGCTTGAAGGCTTCAGTAATGTGACATGTCATATGATGCTGCCTACTCTTCTTTGATTCCAGCAGGTGAAGGAGGTATCATTTACAGAAGAAGAAAAAGGAAAATCACTGAAGGGAATCAGTAAGTTGAATGAAAAATAGTAACTAATAGTGGAATTAGCTCTCATTTCCAGACAGGGAGAGATGTGTTTGTGGTTTCGCTAGTTAAGTGTTTTTGGTGTTATTTTTCTACATAAGCAACTGATATAATTGCTAAAGAAGCAACAGTGAAAGGATCAGAACATCCTGTGGGCACAGATGGAGCTTGCATTGTGTATACATTTTTAAGATATTCTATTCATTTAATTTTAGCAAGAGTGTCATCAGTTTCTCAGAGATGAATGGGTATTTTTTATGTGCTCCTTGAGGCACATGGAAGGCTGCAGTATGGGCAAAAGTTGTAGCCTGTTCACAAACCCCAACTCTTTTGAGAAGCACTTTCTTGTTCTCATACATGAGGCCACAGGATCTCCAGTCTTATTGTTCCCAATGCTTTTGGGGACACTGGTGTTCTGGTGGCTCTGCTGGGCAGACATGTGCTACCTGAATGAAAAATAAGAGCTAAAAAGGAAGTTATTCATCTTCCTTGTGGAGTCCTCAGTCTTTACAACCCGACCGTAGTTGGACTTCAGCAATTTGATATCAGAAGGTTGTTTGTGTGGCAGTTTATCACTGTCTCTCACAGGCAGCAGTTTTTCTTATCATTGTTTCCATTAACACACAGAGCTCTGCAAAAAAAAAGAAAAAAAGGATTGTCCTCTGTTTTCATACAAAACTCCATCTTCTCCTTGGATTTCCTTCCACAGGAAGCACATAGGCAGGTATGCACTTACTTGCATATTAAATAGACAAGATAAAGCTGTTTGTACCCTGGAGAGATGAGTTAAACATTGAAACCAGCGGAGGGCAAACACGGTCATTCACTGATCTCTGAGGTGTAACAGCTCCAACTCACAAGGGTCGGGAGGCAGAGGCTGAAGCAAACTGGCTTTGTCTTGTACTTCTCAAGCTCACAAATTGAAAGGAGAATGCTGGGAATGCAGTGTTAAAGTTCTAAAACTGACCCTGGGTCTGCCTTTCGATATCAGCAGCTAAAAGGGCAAAACCAGAGAGATACAAAGATAACAAAGCTTCTGTAAGATCCAGGTCTGCCTGGAGGGACCTGAGGGGAGGCTGTCACCCCGAATCACAGTCAGCACTTCAGGAGGAGACAGTGCTGAAGTTTGCACCAGGATTTTATGCCACAGCCAAATAGATCACCACGTCTTGTATGTGCTACTGTTAAATGTTAATAAATCTTGGCAAAGACCTCACCAAACAACAAAACTGTGTCCCTGTGAAATACTGGTCAGAAGACCAATGCAACTGCCACGAGCTGATGTATCCACCCATGTAAGTTTATTGGCAGGAGATAAACGCATAACCTCGTATATTTTACATGGTCATAGATTATTAAAATGCAGATGGGCCCAGGCACAGCTTACACAACCAGTATCTCCATAAGAGGCTCTGCACCTCTGCAATCCAGGGAATTATTTTGGGTAAAAGTACAGGAAAAGATAATTTATCTCCTTGGTGGGAGGCATGATTTTTGGTATCTCTAACACCTTTCTCAGCAGTAAAGGTGAAAAGAAAATCAAGTTGGATCCACCAATCTCACCTGAAATCTGTGTCAGGTCCCTGTAATTCTTTACAATTATTAAACACTGAGCTGCAGCATAGCATAATAAATTACCGTTTCTCAGGTTTTTGGAAGTTCTCTGTTACAGGAATCTACTATTATCAGACAAGAACTGCTTGGTTGCTCTTCATTTTTCATCTTTTCTCTGAAGCCCAAGAGAGATTAGTGCTCTGTTAAACTTGAATCCCATACCCATTGCTGCTCAGCTGCCTTTTTAGGTGTCAGATCTTACCAACAGCCAATTGATGCATATTTTCCTCAGAAAACAATTTCCCACACAACTTCCAATTTTCTTATTCTGCAGAACTTGCAGAGGAAGGGGTTGCTTTGAGGGTCAGGGGTTCTGTGACAGATTCACTAGGAAGTGTAGTGTACATACACTGACAACAGGGAAGGCTTTATTTCCCCATGTAAACACAGACTTCCCTGCTTAGTCCTTATACCTTGTAGGGCTTCCCAAATGAAGCCTCCCAATTGCAGGTTACCACAGAAGAGCTGAAATAGGATGGACCCCATCTCTACTTACCAGTAGGACCAAGAAAACAACCTTTGAATTTTCTGGTTGATGCAGGAGCTCAAATGTCTCTGATCACCCCCATGGATACTAATAAATCTGACAAAAACCATTTTTTCCAAAAAGGTCTCAAAAGGATGGATAGCTACTCTAACTTAAGTTTGTTTACATAGTGTGAAGAACCTCGATCAGTATTGTTAAGATACTAGATAATTTGAATAAGATTTTGATGGCTTTGATTAATATTTGTATATATTTTGTCTCAGTAGTTTTGCAGTGTGTGTATAAGAATTTTCCACAAGCATTGCTTTGGAATGTTTGTGCCTTCTCTCTGGTTGCCACAGTGGATGGAGAAGATTCCTCCCTGAATTTGGGTGATTATGGAATCAAGTTTGTGTCCTTCTTCCTACCTCCTCAGAGGCCTCATAGCCCCCATATCCATCACAGCCCCATGAGAGTCACAGGCTCCAAAGTCCTCATAGACCCTAGAGTCCCTACAGCCATTATAGCCTTCAGAGCCCCCATAGCTCTCACAGTCCTCACAACCCTGGAGCCCTCAAAGAACCTACAGACCTCAAAGCCCCCATTGCCCTCACAGCCCCCATGACCCTCTACAGCTCTCAAAGCCCTCAGAGCCCTTATGGCCCTCACAGACCCCACAGCATCTTCAGGACTTTTATCACACCTCAGGATACGAAGTAGATGAGGAATTAAGTACACTAAAAAAAAGCAACTCTCATGAAGTGTTTTATCTGGAGAGTCCATTATGCTGCAAAAAGTTATTTCCGGGTTCAAACAGATGTGCTGGTTCTGAGTATTCACTTCTCTTGTATACATACAGACTGCTCTCTTTACACAAAGTCTCTTATTTTCCTAGGCTTGGATATGTCTCAGATTTTTCAGATATCCAACTGAATTCCCTTCAGTCGCGCTCCAGTACGACTCAAGGTCAGGTTGTGCAGGCTCCTGGTAGTTCTTTGCGTTCTCCCGGGAGATGTCTGGAGTTGAAAGGAGGTGCCCAAAACTGAGCTCTGTTCTTCATGAAAGCCTTTTTTGAGCTCAGTGGAGCAGAAGAATTATTTCCCTCTTGTCTTTTACAGCCTTTTCCTACGTTTCAGTAGCATAGTCACATTTTTTGTGGTGACTCATTTTCTATTTGTGAACTGCTATGAACCAAGATTTTCTGTGAAGTGACTGCTTCGCCACTTTGTCTTCAGCTCACAGTTTTGCAGCCAATTATTCCCAGCTAATATGTAATAGTTTCTCACCTTATTGAATTACATCCTCTTTAGTTCAGATCTTTGTTCCAACTTGTCATGATTTGTTCAATTCTAATTACATCTTCCAAAATGCTTACAGCTCCCGCCTGAACAGGATATCCTCCACAAATATGATAAAAATGTTCCCTAGCCTCTTGCCTCACAGAAGCAGTTCAGGACTTGGGCTGTGAGCATCTGGAGGACTCTCTGCAAACTTACTTGACACTATTTCTGAGTGCCATTTTGTAACCATTTCACTTAAGTGTTGTGTAGCCAGCTTCTTGACCTTGCTTAGGAGAGTGTTAAATGATGCATCATCAGAAGCCTTGCTTCAGTCAAGATTCCATAATTAGCCTTTTTTTTTGGATGTTATGGTTGATTATTATTCAACTTATCATCTGAGGCCTTACAAATAATTTGCAATTAAATTACAAATAATTTCTTCCAGTATTTTGCCTGATACAAAATAAAGGTGACTGGCCTCTGATTCCCACGCTTTTCTGGTTTAGGGTAGGCACTGTTTCCTTTTTGCTGGTCTCATGGAACCTCAGCTGTCTTTTTGGAGTTCTTGAAAGGAATTGCTAATAGTTTGGATATTACTTAACCATTTTTCTAAATGTGTTGACTAAAATTGCAGATTATTTTTGTAAGCATCCTACTTGAATAGATTGTTTCTTTCCTTAGTTTAGCTTGATCATTTGTTTGCATGTTGTTAACATGTGCTGGGTTGGCTGGGGTAGAGCTAATTCTCTTCCCAGTAGCTGGTGTGGGGCTGTGTTTTGGGTTGGGTGTATTCTCTTCCCTTGTTAACCACCTGGTTCCAGCTGACATTTTGGTGAAAGCAAAGTGAAAACCATGAGGCTTTGGTTTTCCTCAAATGACTTGGGAACAGTTTCCTTGCCCAGCTGAGAGCAAGTCCTTCCCCACCAATCTTTCACTTAAGCTTTTTATTTTTACTCTCTGTGGCTCCTTGAGAGAGTTTTAGCTTATATTGTGTGTTAATCTTTGTGTTGTTGATTTTAATAATTTAACCTAGATTTTGCTTTTTCAAAATGGGCAAGCCATTGAAATATTTCCATTTAAACAGACTCTTCTCTTCCTTTCTTGCTTTCTCACTGCAATGGTCTAGTTGCAGCCTTGATGTTTGTTGGAAATAAATAGGAGGGTTTTATTCCAAGCAGGCGTTTCCACGGCTGCCTCGTGCCGGGGCTCTTGGGAGCCATTTTGTTTGAAGGGCCGGGGAGCCATTTTGTGGTTGGGAACTGGTGGACAGCTTGTGGCTCTGCTTGAAGTTGCTTATTGCTGCTGCCTACCTGCTGCTACACACAGTTCTGCTTGGGGCTGCCTATTGCTCTGCTTATAGTTCTGCCTGCTTACTGCTACTTACTGTTCCCTACTGTTCTGTTTGCTCACTGTTACAGCCCCGAAGAATGTAAGATGGTAACACCAGCCAGGGAACCATGCGGCCGGGGCAGGGAAACAACCTGACAGGTGGGTGAGGACAACCAATGGGCTGCACCAGAAAGCAAAGATCGCCTTCTAAGGAAGAAAAGAGCGAGGCCTGGCATGGGAGGAGCAAGGGAGCGGCCATGCTAATTGAAGGGTCTTAAAAGGGCTCGTCCCTCCCATCCAGGTGTGCTTGAACTGGGTCACAAGTTTGAGGCACTCAGTATGCTGTTAAATAAAGTTCCTTGTTTCACTTTATTTGGCCGTCTCCGAAATTTTAAGTAGAGATGTTTCTCACAGTGTTGATTCTCTGGGAAATGGAAAGCTTCCCAGAGAGTGCTTTTCCTTAATTTTCTACAGTGGGGTTTGCCATTCAAATGGTGACTTTACTGGAACTTATTTTATTCAAGTTCATTGGTTTGATTTTCCTTCCATCCCTTTTGAAGAGCCATTAACTTAATGACCATTGGCACCTCTATAGCCTCCCAAATTCCTTTCAGAGCAGGTGCTGTGCTATTTCAAGTTTCCTTATCACAAATTCCTACACTTTGGATGATTTTATTCAAATGAAAGCACCATGCACTTCATCTTTTTCATTTGTGTGTTGCTAATGGATCTTTGCTGTGACACTGTTCTTTTCCTTTTTGCCATTATTAAAATATTGTCACTCACTCTGTACCTGACATTCCTTTTTCCCTACCTAGGCTTCCTGAACAAACTCTCCATTTCCATAACAATAACCAGTGATGAGAATTTATTCATAATTCTGGTTGTGAATGCAATGACTTTCAGTTTCTCCTGTTTTTTACCCACATTCATACACCAGTGTGCAGCACCTGAGCACAGTGCCAGGGAGACTTTTTTTTTTTTACTATTCCTTGATTTTAATATTCAGTAAAATCATTTTCCTCTTCCCCCCCAATTCTTCTTCTTTCGCCATGCTTTTGTGGTTCATCTAAGGCCTGTGGTGTGATGAGAATAATCTGAAGATAATTTAATTTACAGCAGCTGCAGACAAATGGTAACAACAACAAAGTGGGGGACTGGTCAAACAGTCCTGATTTTTTTCTCCTTTGTCTGCGTGCCTTGCTAGCTTTGAGACAGGTTTGTTACAGCAGCACAGGGCAAAAAAGACCACATAACAAATAAACCTTTATTGAAGGCTGTGGGCTGACATTCCTTAAGGTTTTGCTGATCCACACGTGAAATGGGGAGAACTCAGACAAGCTGTGTGAATGTTGTGGTTAATTTAAATGTAATTTGCATCACACACAAGACAAAAATAAAAGAGAGGGGGAAAACCCCCAACAAGACAAGCTTTCATTATATAAACATATTTATTTAAACATAAGCAATGACGATATTTAATTAAACATAGACATATATTCACTACTTAATAATTTGTTTAACCATACCAAACC